TCTATACAATAGGTGATTGTCCTTTATCTATACAATAGGTGATTGTCCTCTGTCTATACAATAGGTGAATGTCCTCTGTCTATAGAATAGGTGATTGTCCTTTATCTATAGAATAGGTGATTGTTCTTTATCCATACACTAGGTGATTGTCCTCTGTCTATAGAATAGGTGATTGTCCTTTATCTATACAATAGGTGATTGTCCTTTATCTATACAATAGGTGATTGTCTTCTGTCTAAAAAGAAAAAGAAAAATTTGTCTAAATGAGATTGTCTTTTATCTGAAGGTTTAATTATCATGAATAGTATTGGAATATACAACCATATTAAATTGTGATATTTCTAAATCGCTCTGATCTCCCAAGTGTTACCTACTGACCATGTTCACCCTGCATGATAAAGTTGTTTGCATGTTTTCTGTTAGTTGTTGGTTAAGTTGAGACACGTTGATATTAATTGTCCTAGTTGAAGTTACTTGGTTAGGTAAAATAATATGATATTCATGTTTCCGTTTACCTAATTGGCCATATAAAGGGGGAATGGAAGAATTTCAGAATAAATGGATTCACAAACCTACAAAAATGAATGTGCTGGCAAGAGATTTCTGTATAACAGTGATGTAACAAAGAATATTGTGAAATCCAAATATGTTAATCAGTTTATTTTATATATTCGTAAGTTATGTAAAACAATTAATTTCATTTATGCAGTACACAGTACTTTTTTTTAATGATGGTAAGCTAAGTAAAAAATACTTACCACCATTTAAAAAGTCCATATACAATGGTCTTTAATTAACTGTGTAAATGAAGTTAATAATCTAATTTAACTTTCAGTTTTTTTTCTTTCTCATCATTCTATGTTACTTTTGCAGTTAAGCCCAACGCTGTAGAATCATTTAACGTGGACTTCACCAACGAGAGTACCTGCTTAAACTTGACCTGGGTCTTTGACTCATCCATTGCTAATTCGAGAGAAAAGCACTACAGAGTTCAGTACTCTCCTGTTGCTGACCTATCACACAATAAAACGGTATAGTATTCATTTTTTTCTCGTCAAAGTTTTAGCCCACCAACATCAGATGCTAGGCTGCTAAATCTCCCTTTGTTCGTCGTCCGTCGTCTGCCTTACGTCCTTCCTGAATTCATCCTTAAACTATTCTTGTGAGCGCTATTTCTAAGAAAGTACTGGAGAGATTTTTCTCAATTTTCACGTGAAGGGGTTCCCCATGGTCCCTAGTAACACATATCAAATTTGGGGTCTGATTAAAAGACCAAGATTGCCAACATCTCCCATCTTGAATTTTGAGAGTTAAAGATTGTTAGCGCTATTTGACAATAAATATTTGAGGAATCTTTCTCAAATTTCACATGAAGGTTCCAATATGGGACTAGGTAATAGAACCTGCAAGGAAAATGAGGAGCAAAGAAGGTAAAAGATCATTTTTTGTAGATCTGATAAAGATCCTGTCATATGGTGGGTGCAAAGATTCTTCAATGATCTCTTGTTATTACACTGTGCATAGCACACCTCCTCCAGAGAGCCAAGTCTGCTAATTATCCCATGGAACTGTGTTTGTCATCGTTCCATTGTCAGTGTTTCTTTTAAAACCTTTAAAAATAATAGCAATAACAGTAATTTGAGTTTCTTGTTCACCGCTTTATCACAACCTAGTTTGTAGGTCGACTCAAAACGGTTCACAAATTATTGTCCGTGGTTATAGGGCCTTTGCAACCAGCCAATATCTTTCTCAATTCCTAGAGGAGCATACAGCCAGTGCTGCCATTTCGGCGCGAACCTGGTCAGTTTGATCCATTCAGGTTTTCTAACAAACTGAGAGATAATCAACACAAAATCCATAGCAGACTGTGATATAGTGAGGCAATACCTTTAGCAAGATAATTAACAGGAAACAATGATTTGCTGTTTACCCAGGTGTGGAGCGACGATAATCATGTGACCGTCTGTTACCTAACACCCTACACCTTGTACAAATTCACCATTGCCGTCCACCCGGACAGAAATGCAATGAAGGGCTACTGGAGTGACCCTGTCACAAAAGAAATCCGAACAGACCAAGATGGTAGGTCATCATATACCTTGCTTCTGTAAACAATGTTTTAATACTATTTCCTGTTCCCTGTTGTGATGAAAGGATGTATACGTAGCTGCCGGTAGCCGTAGCTGACACACACACAAACAAACCCAGTACATGGTAGTATTGTATAAGCATTAAGTTTTGTTGGAGTTATGTGTGAGAGAAAAGTTTTATAGGGAAAATATTTTGTGGAAACATCAACATTTGATGAAAAAAAATTATGTGTTTATAATCTGGCAAAAACATCGTAAGAATTTCTTTTCTTGGTAACACCCCACTTCTTCACCCTATTCTTCTCCTGTTCCCCAAAAACATATGTGTACATTATTTTCACCATATGTATTGAGGGGAGGACTAAATTAAGTTGTAATCACTTGTTGTCCAATCCATTTGTATCTTTGTACAATAAAGTATGTTTAAACTTGCATCAGATAATGGCTGGTAGGCATAACGTCATTACCAGTAGGTTGGAGTAAAATATTTGTGTGATTTATATCATGAGGAATTCCATAATCTGTAAAATAAATTAAATTAAATTCCCAACAAGAAGGTGTTGGTTTTAGCGGCAAATAGAAAACTATGATGTTTTGCAGTTCATCCCATTACTCTTCCCCATTATGATGAAAAAACATAATGAACAGTTAATTAATAAACAATAATTATTTTTACCTAAGGTTACTAATACGACGACCAGAAAGTTAGGTATAGACTGATAGTTTGATAGCTTAGTAACTCTATGACACAATCTAAATTTTCAGTTCCGAATCGGTCACCTGAAATGGTTGGATACACACTGTCTTCAGATATAAATTCCCAGGAAGGACCGGACGCAACCAGAAGTTATACAGTGTTTTGGAAGGTATACAAATCTGTCACTATGAATTTTGAACAATTTTTAACCATTTCTACTGTATACACCACTCACACTTTATTTTCTTGTTAGATTTATGTTATATTCTCTTTGATAATGTAAAGAAAATTGTGAATTGTGGGCCTTTTTACAGAGTATTAACATTTTGAAAATCGTAGTTATGTAGCAGTAAATAGTAAGAAATATCATTGTCCAGAAGTGCAGTAGATATGTTCCCTGTGTTACTCTCGAGAGGTCTTTGGATCCATTACTGTTGAAAAAAAAATGAAATGTTGGAACTCTTCTTTTTGGGAGATAATAACAGGGTGATGGGACTTTTTTTTATCGCAGAAGCTTCAGAGACTTAAATATACTTCCAAATGAATTTTATTCAATATAACCTTGTTATGTATTTGGAGGGTGTATAATACAATATGCTAGTCTGGACATCTGTCCCCTCTCTGTTAATGAAACTTCAACTCTATGAATGATCTGTTCATTATTTTGTTATGAACCTCATATTTATTTTTCAAATTTCCACTCAGATCCCCAGGGTTATTGTTTTTATAAACCCTTTTGACCAGCGGGTTGCATTTGTAATGTGGTATACCCTGTGGCACCCGTTCATTCACCTGTCCATGAACTTTTGTTTGTCATTCTTTTTTCTGCAATCATATTTAAAAATTGCCATGTCTTGATGAAACCTGATGATTCAGAGATTCGGCTAAGGGTGACTATATTAAGCCTGTAACATGCTCTGATGTTGGGTTATCATTTTTTAACTCATCTGCCCCTCTTGTTTTCTTAAAAACAATGTAGACCAACTTTATATCTCTCAATGGCAGTTCATGTAAAAAACATAAATAACTCTTTCCTGATTAAGAAGAGGCCTGTTGATAGTAAACAAGTATGAATGTGATCTTTTAAGGTAGCAGGGGTAAGTCAAAATTGATGGTGGGTGGCAAGATCCTTCTAGAATCTCTTGTCTGTCCATTACGTAGCAGTGACCTGAAGTTTATTTGCTGTTTTAGTCGGTACCTAAGATTGACAGGAATGGTGTCATAACAAAGTACAGGATAGCCTTTACAGACACAGGAGATCATCACACAGGTTCCATCATCAAAAATGGAACAAGGATCTTCGTAAATATTAAATTGCAAAGAAACAAACTCTACAATGTCTCCATCGCCGCTGCCACTGTCAAAGGATACTCACATCACAACTCCAGCCTCATCATCGACACCACAGGTAAGTCACTCACACAGATACTCACCTCACCACTCCAGCCTCATCATCGACACCACAGGTAAGTCACTCACACAGATACTCACCTCACCACTCCAGCCTCATCAATGACACCACAGGTCCGGCGTCCAATAATTTTTCCTTTAAATAACTTCTTATGAAGAATGGACAGGACTAGAGTCATGATATTTGGCTGAAAGTTTTGTTGGTAGGGGCCCAACAAAGTTTGAGAATCTTCATATTTGGCTGGTGGTTTCTTTGAATGGAGACTAGCAAAGTTTGAGAATAAAAATGACCTTGACCTACTTTCAAGGTCACTGGTATCAAATATGTCAAACACTTTAAACATCTTCTAAGTAATCTAAAAGCAAAGAATTATGATATTTGACTGGTAGCTTCCTGGGATGGAGCTTGACAATGTTTGCTAATGAAAATAACCTGGACCTACCTTCAAGATCACAGGGGTCTAATATGTCAAACACTTTAACAACTTCTGAAGAACTGAAAGGTAGTGAATCTTCATATTTGGTTGGTAGCTTCTTGGGACAGAGCCCAACAAATTTAGAGAACGAAAATGACCTTGACCTTCTTTCAAGGTCACAGGGGTCAAATGTGTCAAACACTTGAAACGACTTCTGATGAAGAACTGAAAGGTATAAAATCTTCATATTTGGCTAGTAGCTTCTTGGGATGGAGAACAGCAAATTTTGGGAATGAAAATGACATTGACCTTCTTTCAAGGTCACAGGGGTCAAATATGTCAAACACTTCCAATGACTTCTTCTTAAGAACAAAAAAGAATAGAATCATATAATGATATTTGGATCGAGCCGACAAAATTGGCGATTGAAATATTTTCAGTACAGTAAAATATGTAATGAGAATATTTTGCTATGACTGCTCAGATATCAAGGTGAGGAATATAGGCCTTCTGTGCCTCTTGTTCTATTCAACACTTAGACATTTTCTTTGTCATTCATGAAATATATCAATTAGAAAATTGCTTTCTGCAAGAGGTGAATATTAGCGCAAGAAAGATATAAGGTCGTGGAATTTTCAGTCAATAATTCTACATGTACATTGGTCTAGAAGAAGCGACATTTCATAAGTATGACAACACATTTTAGAATGGCATATTCTCTATTTATCTTCTTATTCACATCTCTTTACTTAACCAATATGACAATGTCAGCTTTCTTTATTTCAGGTATGACACCAGCTGATGTTATGGTGGAGCGTAATGCCTCGCTGTATAATGTATCATGGACTGTCCCTGGTCCTGTCGACCTACTCACCAGTTACAGAGTAGTCTACTGCGCAATGATCGGTTCACAGCAAGAATGTGCGGTAAGTTTAAATTGAGACATGAAGGCATTGGTGGTAAAATCTTTGATAGATGTGTATATCAACTCATTCACCCCTGAAGACGCCTTTGAACTCTTCCAATTCAAAGGTTGGAATAGTTTAAAAAGACATTTCAGGGGTGAATGAGTTAAAAGTCACTTCATAGGCATTTTTGATATACAACATACTAGAAAAGTAACCTTGGAGATTCTGATCGGCCAGAAATTACTTCGCTTTCATTATGACATCATTACATATACATGATCCTGTGATGTTTCCTAAATGAGAGTCATCGATTGAAGAATGATCAAGGTTTTTCATCCTAAGTTGTTTGGTCGGTGTTGTATGAAGATATATCTATCAAATATTGAACTATAAAAATATCTCAATCCAGACTTAAGAATTAAGTTGTCCTTGTTCAGATGTATAATAATGCATGTGGTACCGTAATTTTTTGTGTATTGCCGGTGGGCTGTTTTTCTTTTTCATTGCAAAATGCCCTCTGCGGGCTATCTGATGAAGCAGGCTATGTGACAAAATATTTCCAAGAAAAAAAGTACAGGTTAGGTGATTTTCTCTTAACTAGCACTGACTGTATTATTTTGTCTGTGCGAAGTAAATGATGGAGTATTAGGAGTTGACGTAGTTGTTTACTTCAGAATAATGAATGGGGCTATTGGTATACAAAGTATATATGATGTAATAGATAAATAAATGAAATAAACCTCACAAGTATATCTATTTTGAAAGATTTGATAACCAACATGTTGTTACATATCCAGATAAGTACGGGTGAGAGCTACATGTACCTGATGTTGGAAGTGAACATTGTATTCATTGCGTGTATTCGTTTTTATCTCGCGGCGACGGAAGTAGCAGAAATGAGACTAAGGTGTTGCTTTTAGAAAGCAGTCTTTATTGTGTTATCCTTAAAAAATCAGTGTAAACATTTTCCGCTACATAACATATGTTTAATATATTACGACTGATTTATTCTGTTTACAGGGAGAGCTACAGAAGTTGAATGTTCCCGATTCCCGGACACGTCACCAAACTTTGCCACTGACATCAAACAAGACGTACCTGTTTGGTGTGTCTATCGTTGGGGCTGGAGTAGCCAGTGCTGCCAAGTTTGAGAGCTGTATTTATGTTTCCACAGAAAGTAAGGCAACCTCTATATACTTACTAAAGTTAATACAAAAGGCTACCCCATTATATATGCGAGAGTTGTTACAAAAGTTTTAAATGCAATCCTGTGTTTATACAATTCAGTATTTCTTACAGGGCGCCATATGTTGGCCATGAGGTTAAGGCGTCTGACTGTTTCGATCACTAGCCTTTCACAGGTTTGAGACTTATGTGGGGCAGTCACAAGGTGTTAACTGCAGGTCGGTGGTTTTTCTCTGGGTACTCCAGCTTTCTTCAACCACCAAACCCGGCATGGCCTTAGATAACCATAGCAGATGATAGGACGTATAAAACAAAACAAACCAAACCAATCGGTATGTCTCATAATAAATGGAACATTTAGCCAGCCTGCTATGGATGATATGTATGTATTGATGTCTATTTGTTGATTACAGTGAATACATTTATTTGACCTAGGGCCCAGTCAGCCTCAGTTTTCGGTGGACGACAGTATTGGCGAAAACAGTTTACGAGTAGAGTGGGACCCTATACCCTGCAATAACAAACAGCCGTATGTGACGAGTTTTACCATCACATGGTGTCAGACAAACAACAAACTGGAGGAGCAATGTGTTGGTAAGTAAGCACAAACACCATTCTGTAGTGTATGTATGACCAGTTTAAGTACACAAACACCATTCTGTAGTGTATGTGGGACCAGTGTAAGTACACAAACACCATTCTGTAGTGGATATGTGACCAGTGTAAGTACACAAACACCATTCTGCAGTGTATGTGTGACCAGTGTTAGTACACAAACACCATTCTCTAGTGTATGTGTGACCAGTGTAAGTACACAAACACCCTTATGTAGTGTATGTGTGACCAGTGTAAGTACACCAACACCATTATGTAGTGTATGTGTGACCAGTGTTAGTAAGCACAAACACCATTCTGTAGTGTATGTAGGACCAGTGTAGGTACACAAACACCATTCTGTAGAGTATTTAGGACCAGTGTTCGATGTTTAGACATGTATATATATTTATTTGCAGGTCAAAACCATTCCGTAGTTATCCCATCCACATCTGAGACCAGTGTAAGTACACAAACACCATTCTGTAGTGTATGCTTGACCAGTGTAAGTACACAAACACCATTCTGTAGTGGATATGTGACCAGTGTAAGTACACAAACACCATTCTGCAGTGTATGTGTGACCAGTGTTAGTACACAAACACCATTCTGTAGTGTATGTGTGACCACTGTCACTACACAAACACCATTCTGTAGTGTATTTGTGACCAGTGTTAGTACACAAACACCATTCTGTAGTGTATGTGTGACCAGTGTTAGTACACAAACCCCATTCTGTAGTGTATGTGTGACCAGTGTAAGTATACAAACACCATTCTGTAGTTTATGTGTGACCAGTGTAAGTACACAAACACCATTCTGCAGTGTATGTGTGACCAGTGTTAGTACACAAACACCATTCTCTAGTGTATGTGTGACCAGTGTAAGTACACAAACACAATTCTGTAGTGTATATGTGACCAGTGTAAGTACACAAACACCATTCTGTAGTGTATTTGTGACCAGTGTTAGTACACAAACACCATTCTGTAGTGTATGTGTGACCACTGTCACTACACAAACACCATTCTGTAGTGTATTTGTGACCAGTGTTAGTACACAAACACCATTCTGTAGTGTATGTGTGACCACTGTCACTACACAAACACCATTCTGTAGTGTATTTGTGACCAGTGTTAGTACACAAACACCATTCTGTAGTGTATGTGTGACCACTGTCACTACACAAACACCATTCTGTAGTGTATTTGTGACCAGTGTTAGTACACAAACACCATTCTGTAGTGTATGTGTGTGACCCGTGTAAGTACACAAACACCATTCTGTAGTGTATTTGTGACCAGTGTAAGTACACATACACCATTCTGTAGTGTATGTGTGACCAGTGTAGGTACCCAAACACCATTCTGTAGTGTATGTAGGACCAGTGTCAGTACATAAACACCATTCTGTAGTGTATGTGTGACCAGGGTAAGTACACAAACACCATTATGTAGTGTATGTGGGACCAGTGTAAGTACACAAACACCATTCTGTAGTGGATATGTGACCAGTGTAAGTACACAAACACCATTCTGCAGTGTATGTGTGACCAGTGTTAGTACACAAACACCATTCTCTAGTGTATGTGTGACCAGTGTAAGTACACAAACACCATTGTGTAGTGTATGTGTGACCAGTGTAGGTACACAAACACCATTCTGTAGAGTATTTAGGACCAGTGTTCCATGTTTAGACATGTATATATATTTATTTGCAGGTCAAAACCATTCCGTAGTTATCCCATCCACATCTGAGAGGGTTTTTATCATCCAAAACTTGGAGAAGGGTGTCCGGTACGGTGTGATCATGTTGAGCTCTTCTTCATCACAGACTAGCCCCCCCACCGAGATGAAATACGGCACACCAACCAATAATGGTAGGTTAAAGATTATGAACTATGGATCTTTCTTAACACTTGACCAAGTTGCAAGGCCTCAGGGTCTCAGTGGTCAAATGAGTAAGGCCTTGAGTTAGGTTATATTTTTCTGCAGGTTTCTTGGCGGAAAGACAAGTCCATTGGTTTGATTCAATAAATACCAGGTAGATAAACATTTACGGTCTATCAGCTCTTTTTCTGACAATCTGAATGTTTTTGTTACCTGTATGTTCTGTAAACCGGTAGGAGTGAATATATTTGAAAGGTAATGATTTTCATAGTTAAGTTTACCACCTTAGAAGAGAATCCATTCTAGTAAGTACATAAACCATGTAACAATTATACTATAGGTACGGTTTTTCATGTACAGTTTGCCACTTGTACAGTTTACCACATGAACAGTTGACCATATGTATATTTTACATTATATACTGTTTACCATATGCACAGTTAATCATATGTACAGTTTACCCCATGTACAGATTGCCCCATGTACAGTTTACCACTCCATATGTACAGTTTACCACTCCACATGTACAGTGTACCACTCCACATGTACAGTTTACCACTCCACATGTAGTTTACCACTTCACATGTTCAGTTAACCACTTCACATGTACAATTTACCACTCCATATGTACAGTTTACCACTTCACATGTAGTTACCACTCCATATGTACAGTTTACCACTCCACATGTAGTTTACCACATGTAGTTTACCACTCCATATGTACAGTTTACCACTCCATATGTACAGTTTACCACTTCACATGAAGTTACCACTCCATATGTACAGTTTACCCCTCCACATGTAGTTTACCACATGTACAGTTTACCACTCCATATGTACCGTTTACCACTCCATATGTACAGTTTACCAGTTCACATGTAGTTACCACTCCATATGTACAGTTCACCACTCAACATGTAGTTTACCACATGTACAGTTTACCACTCCATATGTACCGTTTACCACTCCATATGTACAGTTTACCAATCCACATGTAGTTTACCACATGTACAGTTTACCACTCCACATGTAGTCTGCCACATGTACAGTTTACCACTCCACATGTACTCTGCCACATTTACAGTTTACAACTCCACCATACAGTTTACCACTCGATATGTAGTTTACCACTTTACATGTACAGTTTACCACTCGACATGTACAGTTTACCACTCTATGTGTACAGGTTACTACTCCACATGTACAGTTTACCACTCTATGTGTACAGTTTACTACTCCACATGTACAGTTTACCACTCCACATGTAGTCTGCCACATGTACAGTTTACCACTCCACCATACAGTTTACCACTCGATATGTAGTTTACCACTTTACATGTACAGTTTACCACTCGACATGTACAGTTTACCACTCTATGTGTACAGTTTACTACTCCACATGTACAGTTTACTACTCCACATGTAGTTTACCACTCTATGTGTACAGTTTACTACTCCACATGTACAGTTTACCACTCTATGTGTACAGTTTACCACTCCACATGTACAGTAACCACTCCACATGTACAGTAACCACTCCACATGTACAGTAACCACTCCACATGTAGTTAACATGTGTACAGTTTACCACTCCATATGTACAGTTTACCAAATATATTGTTTTCAACTTTCACAGTATAACTATGGCATAGATGAGGGGAAAGACTATAGCTATATTATGAAACATTATAAACATGTTTTGGTATTAACAGCAACACTATAGGGTTTGTATGTTATTTTTCAGCACAACAGATGTAGCTGCCCTTGCGGACATGACTAAATATTCTATTTATGCAAATTTGCTTTTTTCTCAGTTTCTTTTGCTGTAAATTATAATCTTAATAAAAGCTCTAGAACAATAAAAGTAGTTGTGAGGTATGATGCGTTAGATTGATTCAAAATTAGAAATTGCCACTTTGTCCTTTAATTGGCTCCAACAGTTTTGTCTGATTCTTTTCCCCAGCAGATCAATTTTTTACCTCATATGGTAAAATGGATCTTTACCTAGTTAAATGCTATATACACAAGGACCGGTTGTAAAATTGTAACGTCTGCAATATATATATCGTATATACATTGGTAATTATGTATATAGTGCTGTATGTTGAAAACAAATAATTGAATTAGAATTTGATTGCTGACCTTCATTAAGTCAACTGCTTGCATGTAGATTGGGCGCATACAGTTTCCATGCTAATTATACCTGCTTTGTTGACCCTGAATAAAAGTCATTAGGTCATAGGTCAAGCACGAACAACATCCATGCTATAGATATTTGTCCACTGACCTTGAGTGGCGAGCCCTTATTTCAGTACACTAACTATGTTTTATATATTTGTCCACTGACCTTGAGTGGCGAGCCCTTAATTCAGTACACATCTATGTTTTATATATTTGTCCACTGACCTTGAGTGGCGAGCCCTTATTTCAGTACACTATCTATGTTTTATATATTTGTCCACTGACCTTGAGTGGCGAGCCCTTATTTCAGTACACTATCTATGTTTTGGATATATTTAGATGTCACATTTGAAGCGTGTTGGATTTTACTGACAGGGTCAGACAGAGTTAAGTAACGCTGGTATCAATAGCTTTAAAAATCATATTTAAATTACTCTAACCTGCAATCTAACTGACAGAGCTTTCATGTGTGGTATCTAGCATGTCCTTAGGGCAGAAGATTTGAAAGGCTATTTCACCAGGTCCTGGGCCATAAGGTTTTTAACACTGGCATTATTCATAGGGACAGGTCTTAAGCTCGGGAAATTTCTGACCTCGCTGCTAAAAATGTTACAGCTTTCAGCATCCCTAGCATGGCCTTGGCATATAAATTTGAGTTTGGTCAATATTGGAACATTATTCATTGATATAAAGCGCTAAAGCATTAAGATTTTTTTTTTTATGAATTTTGAATGAAGATTTGATAACTTACTGATAAATTTTGATTTTTAGATATCTTTACATTGTGATGTTAATTTTTTTTTTTCATTCTTATTTCCTTTGACCCTATCATTTTCTGCTATGTAGTATATACCTAATACCCGAGTGATTTAGGTTTAGAAATATGGTGCCCAGAAGAAATGTTATAATCAATAAGTGGTTTAAATCAATTGCTGTTGAAGTCAATAAGAGGTCAAGAGCACTGTTGCTCTCGATGATTTCTCTGCAAAATGTTGTGATAAGTTTATTTGTTTTAAAGATCCCCGTACCACTGCTAAACCTGTAACTGCGCATGGACGCTTTGTTACCTATACAGCAAAAGCTTTTATATCGTTTCTGAAAAAACCCGAAAAAACCCAACAACATTCCTTTCCAAACTGTTATGAAAAATTAATGAAGATGAACAACTAATTTATACACAAAAATGTCTAATAGGAGTGAGAGTAAAAATATAACCATTTTGAAAAACTATTTCAAACTTAAAATCAAGTTTTGCTAGACCGATTGAACTGAAACTTTGTAGGAATGATCGACCTCATCTTCGCTAGCCAAGTGTTCCCTTCGTATACACTCCACTTACCCTTGGCGGATATAGCCGTGTTTACCGAGCCTTCAAATTTTGCGGTGCCAATCGCTCGCATCCAATAAAATCGCGTCTTACATAAAGCACTTTTGACGAAGGAAAACAGTAATGGCGATGCCCTTTACGGAAGTACCCAAAAAATAGGCGCACGATATTTGGGTAAACTTCTGGAGTTTTAAATCAGTTGGTGGAAATCCTTGACTACGTGCCACATGTAATTGATGACCTGGGAAAAAAATATATGTGTCTTGCGTTCTAGTTACCAAATTTGGTCTGCAGTTACCTATATGTCAGTTTCATGTCGCAAAGAAACAGGTGAGCAATACAGGCCCTCTGAGCCTCTTGTTAAAAAGAAAAGTATACCTTGCAGGACTTTATAAACATAATGGAGAAATTAACCAAAAATATCAACAATAGTGTTTGTGGGTTAGGAAAAAAAGCATGTTTACACCGGATCTGAACCCTGGACTCCAATTGTTAACTGTCACTCTTAACGACTGAGCTAGTCGTATTCTTAACGACTGAGCTAGTCGTATTCTTAACGACTGAGCTAGTCGTATTCTTAACGACTGAGCTAGTTGTATTTTTTTTATTTCCTCAGTTATTGGTCAACGGAAGTGTTACGCACAAACTGTGCTACAGTTTTATCTTAAACAAAATTAAGGGGAGGTCACTGTGTATACAAAAAAAACGTGGTGCAGTGGGACAGGGATCGTTTAATTAAGACTAGTTTGTAGGGTTGGTATGACTGTAAGATACATTTGTATTATTCAGTATTATGATATACTTCTATTGCCTTGTTGTATCAGGATCCCACTATTCTGTGGGGATCTGTTTTTCAACAACCTTTCATGTGTTTGTTACCAATAAGGATATGCCACCGACTAGTTATCTGATGTTTTGTCCCCAGATTTCTCCACAGCAGCGATCGCAGGCATTGTCATAGGTGCCGTATTAGGAGGTGTCTGTGTCATTGCTGGAATATTATGTTTTTGCAGGTAAGGTAAAATTTTGATGTGAAATTCTATAATAACAACGTATAGCTGCTAATTGTGTATCACGAAAATATAAGGTACTACCCTAGGTACAATCTCAGTAGTACCATAGCTAGGTACAATGTCAGTTATACTGTAGCTAGGTACAATGTCAGTAGTACCATAGCTAGGTACAGCGTTAGTATTTCCATAGCTAGGTACAATGTCAGTAGAACCATAGCTAGGTACAATGTCAGTAGTACCATAACTAGGTACAATGTCAGTAGTACCATAGCTAGGTACTATCTCAGTAGTACCATAGCTAGGTACAATGTCAGTAGTACCGTAGCTAGGTACAATGTTAGTATTACCATAGCTAGGTACACTGTCAGTAGTACCATAACTAGGTACAATGTCAGTAGTACCATAGCTAGATACAATGTTAGTAGTACCATAGCTAGGTACAATGTTAGCATTACCATAGCTAGGTACAATGTCAGTAGTATCATAGTTAGATACAATGTTAGTAGTACCATAGCTAGGTACAATGTTCGTAGTACCATAGCTAGGTACAATGTCAGTAGTACCGTAGCTAGGTACAATGTTAGTATTACCATAGCTAGGTACACTGTCAGTAGTACCATAACTAGGTACAATGTCAGTAGTACCATAGCTAGGTTCAATGTTAGTATTACCATAGCTAGGTACAATCTCAGTAGTACCTTAGCTAGGTACAATGTCAGTAGTACCATAGCTAGATACAATGTTAGTATTACCATAGCTAGGTACAATGTTAGTATTACCATAGCTAGGTACAATGTCAGTTATACTGTAGCTAGGTACAATGTCAGAAGTACCATAGCTAGTTACAGCGTTAGTATTTCCATAGCTAGGTACAATGTCAGTAGAACCATAGTTAGGTACAATGTCAGTAGTACCATAGCTAGGTACAATGTCAGTAGTACCATAGCTAGGTACAATGTCAGGAGTACTATAGCTAGGTACAATCTCAGGAGTACCATAGCTAGGTACAATGTCAGTAGTACCATAGCTAGGTACAATGTCAGTAGTACCATAGCTAGGTACAATCTCAGTAGTACTATAGCTAGGTACAATCTCAGTAGTACTGTAGCTATGTATGATCATGTTGCTATGGTTACTTTATAGGATATCACGACACAAAGGTAGTTTCATAAAGTAAAAGGTAGGATCACGTTGCTTTTTGTAACTAAGATTGTATTGATATGGTAACCAGTTATGATTACATTGCTATGGTAACTAGGTATAATCACATTGCTATGGTAACTAGGTATGATCACATTGCTATGGTAAGTAGGTATTGTCACATTGCTATGGTAACTAGATATGATTACATTGTTATGGTAACTAGAAATGATCACATTGCTATGGTAAGTAGATATGATCACGTTGCTATGGTAACTAGATATGATCACATTGCTATGGTAACTAGATATGATCATGTTGTTATGGTAACTAGATATGATCACGTTGCTATGGTAACTACATATGATCACATTGCTATGGTAACTGGGTATGTTCACATGGCTATGGTAAGTAGATATGATCATGTTGCTATGGTAAGTAGGTATTGTCACATTGCTATGGTAACTAGATATGATCACATTGCTATGGTAACTAGGTATGCTCACATTACTATGGTAACCAGAAATGATCACATTGCTATGGTAAGTAGATATGATCACGTTGCTATGGTAACTAGATATGATCACATTGCTATGGTTACTAGATATGATCACATTGATATGGTAATGAGGTATGCTCACATTACTATGGTAACTTTGGATATGATCACATTATAATGGTAACTAGATATGATCACGTTGCTATGGTAACTAGATATGATCACATTGCTATGGTAACTAGATATGATCACATTGCTATGGTAACTAGATATGATCACATTGCTATGGTAACTAGATATGATCACATTGCTATGGTAACTAGATATGATCACATTGCTATGGTAACTAGATATGATCACATTGCTATGGTAACTAGATATGATCACATTGCTATGGTAACTAGATATGATCACATTGCTATGGTAACTAGATATGATCACATTGCTATGGTAACTAGATATGCTCAAATTGCTATGGTAACTAGATATGATCACATTGCTATGGTAACTAGATATGATCATGTTGTTATGGTAACTAGATATGATCACATTGCTATGGTAACTAGGTATGCTCACATTGCTATGGTTACTAGATATCATCACATTGCTATGGTAACTAGATATGATCATGTTGCTATGGTAACTAGATATTATCACATTGCTATGTTACTAGGTAATATCACATTGCTATGGTTACTAGGTATGCTCACAGTGCTATGGTTACTAGGTATGCTCACGTTACTATGGTAACTAGATATTATCACAATGCTATGGTAACTAGTTATGATCACATTGCTGTGGTAACTAGGTATGATCACATTGATATGGTAACTAGGTATTCTCACATTGCTATGGTAGCTAGGTATGCTCACATTTCTATGTTACTAGATATCATCACATTGCTATGGTAACTAGATATGATCACATTGCTATGTTACTAGATATCATCACATTGCTGTGGTAACTAGATATGATCACATTGCTATGGTAACTAGGTATGCTCACATAACTGTGGTAACTAGATATGATCACATTGCTGTGGTAACTAGGTATGATCACATTGATATGGTAACTAGATATAATCGCATTGCTATGGTAACTAGATATGTTCACATGGCTATGGTAAGTAGATATGATCATGTTGCTTTGGTAACTAGGTATGATCACATTGTTATGGTTACTAGATATGATCACATTGTTATGGTAATGAGGTATGCTAACATTGCTATGGTAACTAGATATGATCACATTGCAATGGTAACTAGATATGATCACATGATCACATCGCTATGGTAACTAAGGTATGATCTCATTGCTATGGTAACTAGATTTTATCTCACTGATGTTATAACTGAGGTTTTATTACAGTTTCTGGAATGTCATTCATAGACTGTCTATGACAATAATACCAGAACCTATTTACTTATTAAAATATATAGGTCAAGTAATTTACAATCGGTTTGTTGTTATTAACAGTTTTTTTGGTTTTCTTTTAAAGGACGACGAAGTATAAGATATCAAAAATGAGTAAACCATACTCAATTGATATTCCTCAGCTGGAAAAGGTAAAGTTTATTCCTGATTGTAGCCCTTTATTAAAATCGTTGAATGTTAAATGAAGTTACTGAAAACAATTTATAGTTATCATAACTTAGTATATAGTCATAACTTTGTACACCAGCTGGATTCAGATGTGTGAATAGGTTTAACATAAAAAAAATGTGTCTTGAATGGTTTATAAGATTGTGTAAAGAGTGATGAGCAACATGTTGACATTGAGTGATTGATACAATGTTGACACTAAATTAAAAGTGATTGATACAATATTGACATTGAGTAAGGAGGAATGGACACATTATGTTGACATTGAGTTAGGATTGATGGACCCCAATGTTGATATTGAGTTAGGAGAGATGTACACATAATGTTGACATTGAAGTAGGAGGGATAGTCACCAATGTTGACATTGAGTTAGGAGGGATAGTCACCAATGTTGACACTGAGTTAGGAGGGATAGTCACCAATGTTGACACTGAGTTAGGAGGGATGGCCACCAATGTTGACATTGAGTTAGGAGGGATGGACACCAATGTTGACATTGAGTTAGGAGGGATGGCCACCAATGTTGACATTGAGTTAGGAGGGATGGCCACCAATGTTGACATTGAGTTAGGAGGGATAGTCACCAATGTTGATATTGAGTTAGGAGGGATGGACACCAATGTTGACACTGAGTTAGGAGGGATAGTCACCAATGTTGACACTGAGTTGGGAGGGATGGTCACCAATGTTGACACTGAGATCCATGGTATGATTATTTTACAGTACACTTCAATGAACGGTGATGAGCCTAGTGTGGTTGCAGTAAGTTTTTTACATGCGAGAGTCATATCTCTTTACCATTTAAACTGATGTGATATGTGGTGTTTATTGACACCTAAAGCTTCTCTAATTCTTCTACTTTCACAAAACTCCACACATGTAGTCACCACACTCAAAAGTTGTGCACCTACTATTAACATTTTAATCTAGCCAATTTTTATAGGAGTTACAATACCCCCTTCCTGATACCCATATATATTGTTTTTCTGAAGTACTCAAATTTACAATTTGTACTGAATTTTGTATACATCATTAGTACCTTACTTATTTGTGTGCTTGTAATTTATTTTAGATTTCCACATTTCTATATGAGTTATGTCCCTTGTAGTTTTATGCTTGTTATATATTTTTGATTTTTATCATAACTGTGAAACCATTTGCGTCCCTTTGTGATTCCATTTATAGCTGTTAACACATATCTATTGACACTTTAACCTGGCACTTATAGCTGTAGACATATATAGCTATTGACACTTACATCTGTAGACATATATAGCTATTGACACTTACATCTGTAGACATATATAGCTACTGA